TTCCAATGAAGATGAAATGAAATAATAGAAAGGCTAAAAGCTAAAGACCAGTGTTGACCCAAATTATTCTATAACATGTTTGCCCTCTAAAATGACATATTTTGAAGTTTACCCTCAGAACTGAGGTCTATGGCATAATCCCACGCACACAAGCAAATATTTAACATTGAGCAAGAAAATTTGAGGCAACAAAAATAACAGACCTTCCAGCCTTTGTACCTTTTTTCAAAATAAATCCCAAAAGAAAAAACAAACTTTCATGATAGCCTTGCTATTAAAGCTACTTTAACATTTATACATCTGTGCTGTTAAAATTGATTTATATTGGTTGAGCATAGAGCGACCAGATGTCCCCATTTGTGAGGGACAGTCCAGCATTTTTCACTCCTGTCCCACTAACCAGTCCTGTATTTAAGTAGGTCATTATTTTAAAACATTTAAGTATATTTAGGGTGGATTTTCCTAAATACTAAGAAAGCAGAGCTGCAGTCCTTGTCACAAAGTTGTGCCAGTGACCCATGTGATGACCAAGCTGCATGGTGCTCTTAAAACTGAACAAGCAAATATGGTGGGAACCGTGTTTAAAGGAAAAAACAGCCAAAAAAGACTGCAAAGCAGATTATAACTGGGTGAGGCAAGTGGCTCCTTAAAAAACTCAGAGCTTTTTGTTAAGTTTGTTGAATTTATTATTAAAGTCGATACAAGGAAATTGCAATGTAGGGTAATGCTGTAAAATTCCTTACCAAAAGAAACCCACGCTGAAAAAGCCACATTTGCCTCCCATGTTCCCTTCGAAGCATCCTATTCATCCCACATGGTTTTTGTTAGATTTGGTCACTGTAAGTCATTGTGTCATTATCCGATGATAGCTGGCCTTAATTGCTAATATCATTCACCTGCTGTTCCCGCCCGGCTGTCCAATTACCTCTCATCTCATCCAACTGCGTTCGAGGCTTTATATTCTGCCCAACCCAGCTATATAGGTCAGATCATTATTTTGTTTTAATTGTTTGTTTTCTGTTTCGTCTGTTAGTCAGCTTTCTGTCATAAAACAGGGCAGATGGACCCAGTATTCAAGTTGAGACAGTCAGTAGGAAAGTTTATTAACATAAAACACTTCTAAGGTATTTTTAATAACTTATAAGCCTCATTGTTTAGAGCAAAGACAAACTCCCTGTCAGGATTTGGTTGAGGTTTGTGGACCCAAATGCTGAGGCAGGGAGGCAGAGGTGAGTTTCTTGATAATTTAATGATGAATAAACAAACAACTGAACACAGAGGCCGGAAATCCAAAAATCTAAACATGAAAACAAAGTCAAACAAACCAGAACCATGGAGACATCAAGGGGAAGACTATCACGAGGAGGAGGACTCAGAGAGACGGAGTTGGAGGAAGTTTGACGAGGAACTAGCACTGAAGAACTGCACACAGAGAGTATTTATTGGAGACTGATACAAAGAAAGGGCTAACGAGCAGATTGGGAGCAGGTGTGAAACAGAGCAGAACAGGGAAGGAGCCAGGTAAACAGGAGAACACAAGAGGGCAGAAGAGGGCAACGAATAAAAAAGCCTGGAAAACTGAAAATGACCAGAAAACACAACAAAATAAGAATTAAAACACTTGAACTAGAAAACATAAAGCAAAGTAAAAATGAATACTCAAAAGAAAACATAACAGAACCAGAACTGTAACACTCCCCCAAATAAAAAATAAAATAAGATGCTTAAAAGAGCATGAAAACTGTATTAGTCCTCTTTATTTGTAGTATATTGTTGTGAATAATTACTTTTAAATTGTCATAGAATACATTCCTCTTTATGGTATCATGGTTGCAACCATCTGGTTGAGAAGAGAACTGTTTGTTCAATTTCATCCACATGGGGACAATAAATCACCTAGTAGGGGTGGCCACAAGGGTGGCCAGTGATTGGATAGCAGTGTTCATGGCCACACTGCCCGTCTTTTAGCTTTGCCTCTGGTAACAAGTGAAATCAAGAACCTTTTAATACATGGCCATTTATGACTGTTATGAAGGTGTACGTAAGATTTTTTAAATTATTATCTTTCAGATATGAAAACATCTTCTGTAGTTTTTAACCATTTAAAGCCTAGAACATTAAACAAGTGTCAGAAAATGCTATTTATTTAAAAATTAGAGTTGTTATTGAACTTTCTGAAAAATGAAATAAAAAAACAACATAAAAACAATATTATCATGGTAATATATCCGAGATAAGCACAGCAACTGAATTATCTGCAATCCTATTATCACACATTACTCACATCCTTCTCTCTGTGTCTGCAACTCACTAAATGCCCCTAGGAGGCAATAAAATGGAACGGGTGTGTATCACGATCTCTATTTATTCAATGGATTGCTAAATGCCCCAAAAAAGCGAAGCACCGGTCGGCATGTTGGTACTCCCCACTCCCACGGAGATGCACAGTAAAAATGCCTACTTGTAGTAAAAATGCCTACTTGTGTAGCACTTGACTGCAAAAACTAGCAGTTTGCCAGCTGTGGGAAGAGGTTTCCCAGATAATTTCACAGTCAGTGGAAGTATTAAACAAAAAAATCCATACATAGTATATAATATTACATTAGTCTGGCTATCTCGGACCGAATCAAAGACATTGACCGAGTTAGTTATTAACATTGTGTCTAACGTTACAAAAAACGAAGAAGAGAAAATAAAAAGTAATTCATTGTGAGAAAGTAATTCAGTGTTTTGTTGTATTTCTCATTTGAAAAAGTCATGTATATATTGCATATTACGGTATATTGCATGTTATATTGAAGGTGGAAAAAAAGCAACTCAAACGTTGCTTTTGAGTTGCACAGACAGAGCATAACATTATATTCCATCATTCATGCACAATTTGCAAATAGGACATATAATTGTAATTCAGTCTTGATGTAACATTTTTAAATTATATGGAATATGTTATAAGAACAACAATTCCAGGATAGGAGGTAAAACATCTGCAAGACAATGGGCATCTTAAAAGGTCATCAAATTCTTACTGTAATTGAACACAGCAACAGTGCCCTCTAGTGACCTGAAACTATTGACATTTCCTTAAAAAATAAAATTATATGTAGATGTTTAAATAAATGATTTTCTCTTTTTAAATGTCTTTAAAAAAACAACAGTAATGTTTTCAAATAAAATAATATCAACATTTAAGATTTTAATCAATTTATTTAAGTCGGAAAAAATTCTGAAAGACAATAGATTTTAGCAAAGATCCCAGTTTGCATAATGACCAAGCCTGACCAGCTAGACTGATACTAGGCATACATGGCATATCAGCCTGCTAAAGAGCTGGTGGAGCTTGATTTCAAATGTTGGACAGCCTCATCAGGTAGATTAGAAACTATGGATGTAACACAAAATTTCCAAGTGAATTGCTCTGTTTTTGTCATATTTCTAGTCTGTACAACATGTCAAGCGGTTAAAGAAACTCTCCAGTGAAGGATGGTCCCAGTTTTGCTTAAAAATACTGAAGATTTAAGGTGTACTCTTTAGTATAGTTATTTTTCCTTGCAATGTTGTGCCATAAGCCATGATATTAATTTTGGACATTGAGTACCAATTTCCATTCTGAAATTTAACATATTCATTCTGACAGGGATTTACTAAGGGTTTAGACAGTAATAACATGAATGACTTTAAGTCCCGTTTTGTTATACTGTTAGTGGCCACCACTGTGATGCTTCCTCAGTTCATCCTATTTGGATTTCAAAATTATGACCAAGGAGCTATTAAAGAGAAGTTCCTTTGTGTCTTCTAACTACCATATCAAAGAACACTAAGAATCTATTAACAAAAGGTTGTTATATTCTGATAAAACAAATCCTGTGATAAAATATTATTTACCAGCTAATGTTTTACTTTCCTATTTGATTTGCATTGTGAATTGATTTGCATATATTCAAGTGGCTCTAAATAAAACGATATAATAAAAAAATTTGAAATTAATTACATTGATTTTGAATATATATGTACAAATCTATATACAATATATATAAAAAAATAAAGCAAGGAAAGAAGCCTGTTGGAACTCCTGAATTAAAATGTTGTGGAGCAACAAAATCAGGTGTTCTGTATTGTTCAGGAAATGTTCAGTCGGACTTCTGCACCTGTTGTGGTATGTTATTGTTGCCTCAATTTGTCTGAGACACGTTTAAAAAAAAATTAAATCAAATTTGTTTCACTAAATCATAATTTAATTTATAGTTTTATTGATTAGTACCTTTTTAGTTTTGTGTTATTTCAACTAGTAGTGTGAATTTCTGATTTTCTTTAATTGATGTCAACTTTCATCCACAACCTTATATTCCTTGGTGTGACGTATGATAGATAGATAGATAGATAGATAGATAGATAGATAGATAGATAGATAGATAGATAGATAGATAGATAGATAGATAGATAGATAGATAGATAGATAGATAGATAGATAGATAGATAGATAGATAGATAGATAGATAGATAGATAGATAGATAGATAGATAGATAGATAGATAGATAGATAGATAGATCTCTTGCTGGGAGTGACGTGTGAGTTATAGTGCAGGAGTGTCGCCCATAAAGTAGGAGGAGTGTGTCTCTGCTAGTGGTTTAACATCGCCTACACCTTCTTAGGTGTGTCCCTCTAAAAGCAGCAGGTACCTCCGCACTTTCTCTACTGTTCCTCTGCTGGAAAACTTGAACCGTCCAGGATGCATCAGACCTTTTCTCTTCTTTTTCTCTTCCTTTTTGCCGGTGAGGCTAAATCATTTTTATATTAAGGAAACTTTGTTGTATTTACCTTAAGACTTATGTTTTAACAGCTGTTTATTATGCCTTGTTTTCACGATTTCCCTGAAGTTAATTGACAATATGAATGTTAAAACAAGTTTATTTCTGAAATCTCTGTTTTTGTTTACCCACAGGGTTCTGTGTAGTAGAAGATATTCTGCCTGAGGGTCCTGTGGATGTCATTTTGGGGAACAGTGGTTCTAACCTGCTCTTCTAAAGGATCTCACCTTACCTTCACCTGGCTAAATAAAACCAAGCCTATTGTTATTGATGGCGACCGGATAACCAAGGAAGATTCTCAGGTTCTTTCTTTTTTTAATGGATTTCAATTTAATTAATTTTATTTTCAAGAAATTGAAATTCCAACAATAAAAATCTAAATTTGTTACATCTCTATATCTAAACATAATGAGTTTTATTAAAATGATTGAAAGCTTGGAAAATGAAGTTCTTCAGTTTTCCCAGTTAAGGTATTCACAAAATATTTAAAATTATTTTATTGTTGTCCATATGGTAACTTTGCTTTGGAGACAAAACAAAATAACGACAACGAAAATAAGAACGTAGAGATGAAGCTAATTAAACGAGAGTAGAGCATGAAGCTAATTACTGTCAACATCTTGTTTAGAGCTTATACCAAGTGAGTAACAAATAACAATTATTTTCTTGTTATTTTCTCTTTTGTTTGTTAAACAGGACGGATTATCCAGTAAGCTGACCATCAGAGATGTCCTCAGGAATGACCTTAGCCAAATCGTCTGCAGATCAGCCAACACACTGGAAAAACAGGACAGCGCCCCTTTCAACCTCAACTGTAGGTTAATTATTAATGTCTACACTTCACAGTGGGGCTGGGGGAAATGGCTTTAAAATCTAATGTCAGTTTTTCCCTACAAAATCCAATTAATAAATATATTTTTTATACTTTTTCATAATATAACCAACCAATACCATATATTGATTTCCAAAACAATCTCAATCATCCCCTCTGGGAGGTGACCTTAATTTAAATGGCAATGAAATGTAAGCCCTGAAACATGCTGTAAAATAACAAAACAAAAATGAAAATATAACACACTAATACAGTGGTCCCCAAACTACGGCCCGCGGGTGTTAGGATCCTGAGGATCCTGAGGCTTGCCTACCAGAGGGCGCCGAGGATCCTCTTCTGTTTTTTATTTTCTTTTAGGGACTGGGTTACTGTTGGGATCTGGGGATGTACCACCTTTCTCCAGCAGAGTGCGCCGTGGGTCTCCTGGGCTGGAGCCCTCCTGCACACCTGGAGCTCGTCTGCTCATCAGGAACCTTCCCTACATAAGCAGCTGCCAGACCTTCCTTCAACGCCGCAGTGTTGACCTTAGTTTGGTTAGCAAACCTGAGCCTCTGTTACCAGAAAGAATCTTAGTCATCTCAAGAGAGAAAACTGATTCTAATCTGCCTCTGTCTTTGCTCACAGGAAACCTGTCTCAAATCTGAAGCTCTGGGTGAGCTTAACCTGCCTTCCTGCCCTGGTGAGCCAAACCTGAAGATTCCAGTCTGGATTTCTCCTGCTGCTCTCAGAGAAGAGCTGGAAACTCTGATCAAGGTCTGCCATTCAAAGTCAGAAGCTAGACGCTGCTGCTGCTTGTGCACTCTGCTGAATCAACAGTCTCTGGACCCAACGGTTCCCTCTCTCACAAGTAAAGCCTGGACTCCTTCAAGGTAGACTCAGAACTATCCTAAGACTCAATTATCTGACTGCCTGGCTAATCAAACTGTCATCTCTGCAGACATCAGTGAACCCAACCCGGACCAGTACCAGATCCAGTTAATGTCTTTGTGTCAAACTCATTTCAATAAACTCTGTTAAACCTTTACTCAGCCTCCGTTTGTGTTCTGCATGTGGGTTTAACCTAAAACCAAATCATGACAGAACACTGCGGCCATTAACAAGACCCAGCAGATCACCTCCAGAGGAAGCTTTAAGAACAAGCCACCTGATCCAAGGACAGACACAAACCCTCCGTGAGTTAAAATCCCAGTTTGATTTAAAGAAAACATACATTTCAAGATCCCACAGGCTTCGTGGGAATCACAAGATGGCGCCAGTTCAACTTCCGGTTCCGGAGCCCGTTTCGTCACTTCCGGAATTCCGTTCGTCACTTCCGGTTTCAGATTCGCTTCTAAGGTCAGAATCTGCTCCTTCACTATTTTCTGGCGAATCTAGTGAATGTAAAAGTTTTCTTTGGCAGTGTAAATTGTTTTTCGAGCTCAATCCGTCCAGTTTTCCCGATGACGAGAGAAAAATATTTTTTGTTGTCTCACTTTTATCCGGTAGAGCCTGTAAATGGAAAAGGACCCGTTTTCCTTCTGAATCAACTATCACCTGAACATTCGAAGAATTTTTTAACGAATTCACTCTAGTTTTTTCTAGTAAATCTGTCGAGTCTCATGGGTTGTCAAACATTAAACAAGGAAATGGATCCGTCGAAGAATATTCTGAAGACTTCCGTCAGAGCCTCTGCTTCCGGCTGGAGTGACGCTATGCTAAGAAACATCTACCTGAACGCATTAAATAAAGAGATTAGAAAAGAACTAGCAACGATAGATCAACCTACAACCCTGGAAGAGCTTATTTGCATAGCAACCTATTTGGATTACAGACTACAAGCAAGAGTCAAGCCCAGGTCTTGAAAACCAGCTCAGCCCGGTACAGTTCAGATCTGTCCAGTCCTGTCCAGTCCAGCTCAGTCCAGCCCAGTACAACTCTGTACAGCCCTGTTCAGTCCGCTTCCGCACAGTTTAGTCCAGTTCAGCCATCACCTACATGACCGCCAGTTAGCACCATCCGTTAAAAATCAAACCACCACTCACAACCCAAGCAGTCAGAGCCCCCGTAATCCAGGAGTCAGATCTCTGGAACTTCTATTACGGGGATAGAGATGATCTGTTCCCCTTCTTGTCACCTTATCATGAACCAATTAGCCCTACTCCTGAGCCCGTTAGCAATTCAGCTAAACCTGCACCTGAACCCACTTACACACCAGTTAGCCTTTTGCCACAGTCAGCCTGTGAACCCGTTAGCCCAGCTTCTAATGAACCCCGACGTAAGAGACGGCGGCGCCGTAAGCCAACTCCGTGCCGTTTAGAGACCCCTTAACCTGCTCCAAGCAGTCTAGAGACTCCCGAGCCGATTCTTAGCCGTCTAGAGACCCCTGAGTTAGTTCTGTGCCGTCTAGAGACCCCTGAGTTAGCTCTGTGCCGTCCAGAGACCCCTGAGCAGAACTTTAAAGAGATTTCAGAATTCGAAGAATGTGGTTTTACCCCTCCTAGGACCTCTCTACAGGCGCCACTGACCGCAAGGAGCCCTCTACAAGCATCACAAGCCACTTCAGAGACTGAACCTTTGCTGCCATGGGCGGTTTTCCCCATGCTGGATTGGGAGCCACAATCGGTGGTCCCCCCTGTTCCTGATGTGGAGACACAGTCGGTGGTCTCCTCAGTTCCTGATGTGGAGCCGCAGTCGGTGGTCTCCTCAGTTCCTGATGTGGAGCCGCAGTCGGTGGTCTCCTCAGTTCCTGATGTGGAGCCGCAGTCGGTGGTCTCCTCAGTTCCGGATGTGGAGCCGCAGTCGGTGGTCTCCTCAGTTCCTGACCCGGAGCCGCAGTCGGCGGGTTCCCCTGTTCCTGACCCGGAGCCGCAATCGGCGGGCTCCCCTGTTCCTGACCCGGAGCCGCAATCGGCGGGCTCCCCTGTTCCTGACCCGGAGCCGCAATCGGCGGGCTCCCCTGTTCCTGACCCGGAGCCGCAATCGGCGGGCTCCCCTGTTCCTGACCCGGAGCCGCAATCGGCGGGCTCCCCTGTTCCTGACCCGGAGCCGCAATCGGCGGGCTCCCCTGTTCCTGACCCGGAGCCGCAATCGGCGGGCTCCCCTGTTCCTGACCCGGAGCCGCAATCGGCGGGCTCCTTTGTTCCAGTCCAGGAGCCGCAGTCTGCGGTCTCCACAGAGCCTGTTTCAGAGCCGCAGTCTGCGGTCACCCCTGAGCCTGTTCCAGAGCCGCTGAGGAGGGGTCAGGGTACCCCATGGGGCTACCTACTGAAATTGGGGCGTCGTCCTCCTGGGAAGCTGCTTCGCCCTGGGTGGGTTGTTTCTTGTTTGCTTTTTTTCTTTATGGACTGTTCTGAGGGTGTCTGGAATCCGCCCTTGAGGGGGGGGCTCTGTTGGGATCCTGAGGCTTGCCCACCAGAGGGCGCCGAGGATCCTCTTCTGTTTTTTATTTTCTTTTAGGGACTGGGTTACTGTTGGGATCTGGGGATGTACCACCTTTCTCCAGCAGAGTGCGCCGTGGGTCTCCTGGGCTGGAGCCCTCCTGCACACCTGGAGCTCGTCTGCTCATCAGGAACCTTCCCTACATAAGCAGCTGCCAGACCTTCCTACAACGCCGCAGTGTTGACCTTAGTTTGGTTAGCAAACCTGAGCCTCTGTTACCAGAAAGAATCTTAGTCATCTCAAGAGAGAAAACTGATTCTAATCTGCCTCTGTCTTTGCTCACAGGAAACCTGTCTCAAGCCTGAAGCTCTGGGTGAGCTTAACCTGCCTTCCTGCCCTGGTGAGCCAAACCTGAAGATTCCAGTCTGGATTTCTCCTGCTGCTCTCAGAGAAGAGCTGGAAACTCTGATCAAGGTCTGCCATTCAAAGTCAGAAGCTAGACGCTGCTGCTTGTGCACTCTGCTGAACCAACAGTCTCTGGACCCAACGGTTCCCTCTCTCACAAGTAAAGCCTGGCCTCCTTCAAGGTAGACTCAGAACTATCCTAAGACTCAATTAATCATCTGACTGCCTGGCTAATCAAACTGTCATCTCTGCAGACATCAGTGAACCCAACCCGGACCAGTACCAGATCCAGTTCATGTCTTTGTGTCAAACTCATTTCAATAAACTCTGTTAAACCTTTACTCAGCCTCCGTTTGTGTTCTGCATGTGGGTTTAACCTAAAACCAAATCATGACAGCGGGCCAGATCCGGCCCACCTCCACACTTGGTCCGGCCCCCTGAACAATACCAGAGAGTATTTTCATATATTTTCACATTTTTTTTTTTTTTTTTTATATTAAAGTTGGACATTTGCAATAAAATGTTCCTTAATTATTACGTTTTTTCATAATTAACTATTAGTAACTATTTTATACACATAACGTGAAAATGTTCCACCCTTTTGGGGTCTGTGCCCCTATCTGGCAACCCCCAGCATAAAATCTTAAACCCACCCTTCTCAAGAGACACAGAAGAGGATTAGGGCCATTCAAAAAAATAAAAATAATAGTCTATTCAATTCTGACTTTTTTCTCAGAATTCTGAGGAAAAAGTCAGAATTTTGACTTTAAGAAAAAAGTCAGAATTGAATAGTTTTTTATTTTCTTTTGAATGGCCCTAATCCTCTTCCGTAAAGAGTGAACGGAATAATGGCGAAAAGGTAAGAGAAAGATTGATTCAGAATGCAGGGCATTAAACCTGAATTGGACAAACAATAATTTTTTTTGTTCAATGTAAAGTCTGTCTCGTCTGTCAAGAGGCGGTGGCGGTATTCAAAGAATATAACCTGCGGAGAAACTATGACTCCCGTCATAAATGTAGGCAGTCTTGCAATCGTCACAATTTTTCTGTTATAAGCTGACCCCGGGAAAAGTTATGTGGCCCTCACAGGAAAAAGTTTGGGGACCCCTGCACTAAATGTTTGCAGGTAGTGGTATCAAACACATTCAGCTAGTTTATCAGTTATGGGTCCATATCTAAGAACAAAAGATAATAAACTGATGTCACTCTAGGGTATGGAAGCCCACGATAAGCATTGATAAAAAAAAAAATCCAGATTTTCCACACAAAAATTGTCACAGAGCAGAAATTCTATCAATAGATTTTATTTGAGTACATTAAAAGTTTTTAGGCCCTAAAAGCTAAAACTGAAACTCTCAGGGATAATTAAAAGGATTACAGAGAGATGTTGCGCAAAACTTAGTGAAATAGTCCTTAGTCCTGATATGGAGCTCTGAGAAGGAAATACTAGAGATACACATTTTTGGTTAGTTGGTTTATCATTACATTTGAACTGGTCAGATATTTCTTTTTAACAGCTTCATTTAGATCTGGAAGAGACTTAAAAAAGCTAGAGCTGTGTGCGTAAGTAAAATGGCGACATACAGGTCAAACAAATCCACTCAGGTAAGTACAAGCCAATAATTGTAAATTAAACAAAGTCAGGTTTAAACTTTAACAATTGTCCCATATTTCCAAGGGAACAAACTGGAAGATGAGACCTTGATGAGCCTGTAAAGCTACCTGGACGAGTGTTTTGACAACATCGTAATGGGGAAGCCAAGGAACACCACATCCTCGTCAACGCCTTCTACTAAACGAGGTCGATCTAATTCAACCAGTGCTGCTTCTACTTCTACTTTGTCTCCAGACAGGAGCTACAGTGACGTCCTGAAATCCATCGACAAAAAGCTTACCAGCCTGGACGCCCTCCTCGCCTTGGTAGAAGTCCTGCATAAGGAGTTTCAAGCTCTGAGAGAGTCGCTGGAATACAGCCAAGCGCAGCTAGCCTCCGTTACCGCCGAGAATTAAGCACTAAGGGGGGAGGTCATCAAACTCACTGAGGGGATGATTCAGCTGTCCGGCGAAAATAAGAAGATTAAGGAATCCATTCTGGACATTCGGTCGCAGAGCAGGAGAGACAGTCTCGTCTTCTCAGGAATCGCAGAGCGGCAGGAAGAGGATCCTGAGATTACAATCCATGACTTCCTTCAGCAGAAGCTAAAAATCCCAGCGGACCAGGTAAAAAACATCACCTTCCATTGCGTTCACCGGCTCGGGGGTAAGAAGCCTGATAAAACCCGTCCTAGACCAATCATAGCTAAGTTTGAGCATTACAAACAAAAAGAACAAGTCAGGAGTCAGGGCAGAGAGCTGAGAGGAACAGATTTCAGTGTTAATGACCAGTATCCAAAGGAAATATTAGATCGTAGGCGAGTCTTATTCCCAATCAGGAAGAAATATATCAGTGAAGGCGTCAGAGCTACAGAAGCATTGTATTAATGGTCAGTTGTTCAGGGATCAGAAGATCACTCCTTGGCTTTATTAGATGCACAACAGGTTGATTTAAAGCATGTGACACTTGATAAAAGTATATAGAACAGATCATGGTGATAAATGAAATATATGCACAGCTCAAGAGCACGTTGGCACGGTATGGCTGTTAATCACTGATGGGTACAGGAAGCTTGGAAGGGGGTTCTTTTTCTTTCACCTTTTCTTACTCATTGCACTTTCTTAAAGGAAAACGCAATTCTTTTTACATTTGGCCCTTGATTTTACGTTATTAAATCAGTTCTACTCACTCATATGAGTTTTGTGTCATTTGGACCTGTACTGAAGATATTTGGTTAGGTTTTATCCAAATAACGTCTTCCTATGGGCAAACAAGTTGCAGGCACAAACTAAACTGTTCATAATTTATTCTGTATGGTACGCCAGCATTCATAACATGTAGGTGAAATACTGGCCCGGGCTGCCTGTTACAACCCCAGTACGGCGCGCTGATGACATCATACACACTCTGCTTTGTTTAAAAAATATATAATTATAAAAAATATATCCGTGGATGTCTGGGGGACAGTGATTCACCTACATGTTATGAATGCTGGCGTACCAAAAAGAATAAATTATGAACAGTTTAGTTTGTGCCTTCAAGTCGTTGCCCATAGGAAGACGTTGTCATGATCGGTTTAATATCAAACCCACATGCAGAACACAAAGGAGGCTGGGTAAAAGTTTAACAGAGTTTATTAAAGATGTTTGACACAAAAGACATGAACTGGATCTGGAACAGGTCCGGGGTTGGGTTCACTGAAGTCTGCAAAGATGATAGTTTGATTAGCTGGGCAGGCAGATGATTAAAGAGTCCTTTTAGATAATTCTGATTCTACCTTGACGGGGTCCAGGCTTCTATTGTGAGAGAGGGAACCGTTGGGTCCAGAGACTGTTGGTTCAGCAGAGTGCTCAAGCAGCTGCAGCGTCTAGCTTCTGACTTTGAATGGCAGACCTTGATCAGAGTTTCCAGCTCTTCACAGAGAGCAACAGGGGAAATCCAAAATAGGAATCTTCAGGTTTGGCTCACCAGGGCTGGAAGGCAGGTTAAGCTCACCCAGAGCTTCAGGCTTGAGACAGGTTTCCTGTGAGCAAAGACAGAGGAAGGTTAGAACCAGTTTTCTCACTTAGAGACAACTTAGATTCTTCAGGTAACAGAGGCTCAGGTTGCTAACCAAACTAAGGTCAACACTGCGGCGTCGAAGAAAGGTCTGGCAGCTGCTTATGAAGGGCAGGTCTCCTGATGAGTAGATGCATCTCAGGTGTGCAGGAGGGCTCCAGCCCAGGAGACCCACAGCGCACTCTGCTGGTGGAAGGTGGTACATCTCCAGATCCCAACAGACGTTACTTGGATATAACCTAGCAGAATATCTTCAGAACAGCTCCAAATGACACAAAACTCATATGGGTGAGTAGAACATGACGTAATAACGTAAATAACGTCAAGGGCCCAATGTAAAAAAAAAAAAAACGGTGTTCCCCTTTAAATATAACCATTTTCATAAGGGTCATAGCCTGCCGTTACCCTTTTATGAGGTAAGATCCATTGAATACAAACAAGTTGGTTGTGCGGATTAGCTTTTAAGTAACACTAATCCATTTATTGTTGAACAACAACAACAAACACAAAAACAATGAGACTAATCGTGAAGATATTTAGAAGTATATGAGACCATCATATTTTATTGCAAAAAATAAACCCATCCAACCAAAATATTTAATGATGTGTATGTGTTCCATAGATGGGCCCGAAGATGTCATCATAACTCCCTCTTCAACTGCGCAGTACATGCCTTCCAACTAACATGTTCAGCCTCCTTCAGCCCCGCGGCCACCTTTACCTGGTTTCACGACCAGAAGGATATAAAGGCAACTGGTCCAGTCGTCACTCTGAAAGTCACTGAGGAGAAGGGATTTGGGAAGGAAATGGCTGACCAAAAGTCTGTTGCTGAAAATGCCAGGACCAAATGTTTTGTCTCTTCTAGTGTTGTCAGATTCTCTGTGGCTAAATCAAATCTCAAAGTTATACATATCAAATTGTAAAAAACTTCTTCCAATATTCAGTCAGTTTTCTCCATCATAAGTCCAATACCATGATACAAACTAATTAAGGTAACTTATTAAAACCACTGACTGTGGAGAAACATGGCTCTCTGACTCTGAACACAATTCTTATTCTGGATTACAACAGAATTTAAGACGGTACACATTTTTTTCAATAATATCAACGACACTGTCAAATCAACAGCTTAGTTGAGTTGAGTTCTACTAGTTTATTCAAGAGTATTTCACTGAAATATGTTTGACTTGGAGCTGAATAATTTTGTTAATAACTTTTTTTTTGAATGGAAGTTGTAATGAATTTATTCAATATATGTGCAGTTATCAGTTGACCATGATTTAAGCTCAAATCCCACTTTCATTTGTTGTTCTAAAAAAAAGCCAGTAGATTGTGTGTAGAGTGACAATATGAATATTATCTGTTAATAACATATTTACCATCCCCACTGGGTTGGGCAATAAATATATTAAAGTTGCACAACACACTAATGGTCTGACATATGAGCATATAATTTTGATTTATAACACTTAAACTTCCATCCATCTTCCATCATTTGTCTACAGTCTCATGCGGGGGTGGCTACTATCTCTAGAAAAATATGTGCAAACGGTGGGGTACACCCTGAACAGGTAGCCAATCCATTGCAGGGAAACAGAGAGACATAGCCTACAACCATTAACACACATTCCCACTTATTTGGAGTCACCGATTGTCCTAACAATCATGTTTTTGACTGTAGGAGGAAGCTGGAGTAGCCTAAGAGAACCCACCCATGCACAGGGAGACCATGCATACTCCAAAGAGGCTGAGCTGGGGATCAAACTAAGGGCCCTGTCACACCTTCCTGATTTAGCCAGCTGAAATTTCTATGCATTTTTTTCTATTTTGGTCATATACACAGCATAATCATAAAAAGTCCAGAACTTACGTCCAAAGAAACCCTAACTATTGCATAACGCATGGCAGCATAATGCCCATGAAATGATACACAAGGATAATGTGTTGGGTATTAGGCAGGATTAGTTAAAGCTGCTCCCCTCTGGCACATCCTGGCACATGCAATCGGAGGTCCACCAGCAGCAGTAGAGACCAGGCCTAAAGGTCCCCTATGTTTTTAGTTTTTAGAAAATTTGGCAAATCTGCATTTGCAATTTTTGGGAGCAATAGTCAAAACAAAACAAAAATCTGAATATTTACAATAAATTCATATAAAGAAATCATTATATAAAAAAAAAAGAAGACTTTATTGTCACTGTGTCACTGATTTCAGATCCTTTTGGACTTAGAACATTCCCGTAGAGCCACTTTGCATCAGCATCTCCATGCTCCAGCGCTCTGGGAGAATTTATAGTCCTGAGAGTTGAACACTAGAGGACTGACTGCTGTCCTTCATGACAACAGAAGACACAGAAATCCTCTTCAACAAACTATGACTTTTATCAGCATCCTCATCTGGACTGCCTTGTGCTTCATTCATGATAAAGAAAATTGTTCTCTGTCTTTAAAAACCACTTAGAGTGTAGTTAACTTTCACATCATTATATCATGTGTATAGGGCTGGGTATTGTTCAAAAATTTTCGGTTCCGGTACCAATACCGATACCTTCACTTCGATACCGGTTCCTGAACGATACTTTTTTTGATACCAGTTTTATAATATCAATTCGAAGAAAAAGAAAATTACACAACATAAAAAAGTACAAATCTTGAGTTTTATTTTAAGCTCTGATTTTTTCCATTTACATTTTTCCTCTTACATAAAAAAAAAAATTTCAGTGTCTAATATTCACTGTTACATTGTGAGGACCTTTTTTACTTAGCAGTTTTCCTTTAGAAAAATTACCATGTCTGACAAACAAGCCCGTTGAATGGGATCCTATTGACAGCGCACCGCTGGTATGTGGGGGTCTGAGCGGCTCCCACAGAAATATTGGAAGGCAGGATGAACTGACTGCACTGATTAAGTTTTCAGGTGGATTTTCCCACTTAAAATCATAATAAAACTACTTTATTCCCACTGATCACAGCAAATATAGCTGCAAGGCAAAGAAAGGATAGACTAGCTCCTTATGGGATTTGATGTCACAGCGCCCTGCTGTCGTACCAAAGATGCCGCAGGCACCGCACATTGGAGGAGGAGTTACGTGGCCAACGGGGAGCAAAAAGCAGTGATCACCTGCAAGAATGGTAGTTAACTGAGTTAGCTACATGTAGTCCACTACATAGTCCCCGCTCTATATAGTGATTGAGGGATTTAGTGGGTGGGCGGATGTTCAAGTCTCGTAATGCTACATTCAGACCCCACAAAAGCTGCTAGTTTACCTGCAAAATCCATGGTTGACACACATCAAGGTGCATTAAAAGGTCCTAAAAGGTTTTGAGCAGCAGGAGCAGCACGTCTGAGCAGTGGAAGTAGCGCCTCACAAGCTTCTGAGCATCGGACACGCATGATGCGCCTCAGAAGCAGCAGCTGCTAGAGTTGGAAAAATTTAACTTTTGCTGCTCAATGCCACAACAACCAATCAGAGAAGCTGATCTTTGAGCTGGCAGGGAGACAAGCACAGTGCTGCTGCTGCAGATCGCCATTATCACTTCCCTGAAACCGTTTATTAATGCCTAAATTAACTTAAAATGTCGAAACCTGATGGCAAAATATGTTCTATTTTGAAAATATGTTCCATTTCATTACTCCGGTGCCTGCAGTTTCGGTTATGTATGTAAAAACGTATTCCAATCTCTGCAAATATTAGCGGAAAACCACAAAGGGAGACCGGGCCAGAGGCTGGTGTCGGGATTCCTAGTGACAGAGCACCAGCGGTGTACGGGGTTCTGAGCGGTAATCTGGATGAACTGACTGCACAGATTAAGTTTTCAGGTGGACTTTCTCACTTAAAAACCTATTAAAACTACTTTTTACCCACTTCTAACAGCAAATATAGCGAAGCTGTTCTCTGCCACTGAACACAGGAGCAGCCAAAGCATCACATGCTTCTGGACACACTTTACTGGACATCTAATGTTAATGTGAATCAAATGAGCAGTTTTGCTGCTTCTGCTGCATGCGGTCTTAACGTAGCATAAGCCTGTATGAGCTCTGAGAACGGCAACTTTTAAAGAGAGCGTGCACAAGGAGAAATGGGCTTGTGCATGCTCTTGCACGTATTTCAAAAGAATAGAATGGAAAATCCCTTTATTGTCCCGCAGTGGGGAATTCTGGTCTTCAATAATAATAGGTGTTCACACTCGGGAGCAGGTACAGGGTGAAGCTGGTGCATTTTTTTTAAAGTGGGGAGTTCGGGTCTTTTAAAAAATATCCGAAAAATCCTCCACAATACCTTCGAACAGCAATCAAGATTTATTCAACAAAGTATGAATTCTAGAACCAGTGGCTACTCAAACATTGGGTTTATGAGTTTTCCATATATTCCAACATCAGGTGTTTCGATTTATACATTTTTCAGCTGGTGAATCAGTACAACTATAGATTCGGAGCAAATAATTCATCTGAAACCTACATAGCTACAAAACTGAATGTGGAGACCCCTGCTCTTCACTTTGCGCCTAATCTGTAAAGATTGAAAATAACAGGCGACAGTAGCAGCTGGTGGAGTTTTTCTACTGGCTGGTGGAGTTTGGCTATAAATTCAAAATAGACATATACCAAAGACCAATTGAATGTCAGTTATCACACCAGTATATTTATATGAATGCCAACAACAAAAAATATCTTTTGAAACACTTTTAAACATTCTGAGGCTTTGTGAAGGCAAATCTGTTTTTTGCAGTAGGTCAAGTGCTTCACTTGAGTGGAAATAAAGGGCCGTTATGAAATGAATGTGAACTTTAGTACCAACATAGTCTCCAGTTAGAATAAACTGTTAAAATGCCCAAATTCTGCCAAATAAATTGCAAAACTTTAGAATAAATTGTTCAGCAGCTAAGTTCCTCTTCCTGCTGTCTTTACCTACAGTTTTTGTTAAAGCTACAGTGTGTAATTTTCAGCGACATCTAACGTCCAGACTGCAGACCGCAGCAACATGAACATCTCCCCCCCACCGCTTCTCCCCCCCAACAGTACGGCGAGCGTTACGGGACAAAATGTCTTCCACGACGTCCGCATCACCTACCTTCTCAAGTGATGAGGTTTGTTTACATAGATAATTTTACAGATAGTATTTCATTAGTCTGTGTAGGGTATAGATTTCATGTAGACTTAAGATAATAAATATACCCGTTATTTTTTCTACATCGTTGTGACGTTTTGGTGAGCTGCTTTGCATGGTGATATAAACAGACGAAGTAATTGTAGTCATTAGTTTAACAGCGAGATTGTGTTCGCTGGAAGAATATATATTCCCCGTTTACAGAGTCCAAGTCTTGTTTGTGGCACGGGGGTTACAAGGCGAGGAAGAGGGAGAGGGCGAGGAAGAGGGCAGAGAGGCCGGGGTGGGCGTGCAGCCAGGGCCAGGCGAGGGAGAGGTGCCAGCGGGGTGACTAGAGCAGAGGAGGAAAGGCTTGAAGATCTCCAAAGGAGCCGGAGAGAAGTAACCGAGGTATATATCCAGAAAATTATTTTACAGAAAATTACTGAATCATTACCTGTGAAACGTCAGGGACGTTGCTGAATAAGTATACTGGAGAGTAACAGCATCATCACGCAGCATGTTATTGTAATGGGCGATCTCGCAATCGCTAGTTTGTTGGCTCTGCGCTGCCGTAGCGCAAAGATGTCTGCCTCCATGGCTGCGAGACCCGCTCCTATGTAATTATAAATAACGAATTCTAAGGCAACGCAAATATTAAGGTTAGGAGGCTGAGCTCGTAGATGATGATAAATAACATAGTTATGTATAATATATTACATTTCTGACTGTATATCCCTGTAATTATTACACACTGTAGCTTTAAGAAAAAAAAAAAAAAAATCTCAATACAAAATGTTAAAATCATAACACAAAGATGTTTCACACAGATGACAAGTTCAGCTCTTCAGATTCAGGGTCAGTCAAAGCACACAGTGAAAAGTTGGAGGATTTAATCTCAGCGCTCCTCTTCCCCAATGGTAGCTGAGATGACCCGATCATCAGAGTTCATTCTCTAATTCAGAAATCTGGAAAATTCCTGGAACACTTAGCCTGTCCGAACCTCCTGTAACTGGATCAACGGTAAAATCGCTGCTTTTCAGTCTATTTATCCGCTGGTAATTTAACTCTAGTCAATAAACAGTAAACCAGTTACTATTATGCTGTAAGCCAACCTGGGATAATAGGGAGATCTCTCTGAAGACCTCATCACCACTGATCTAAGAATCAGAACATCTTATGGCGTATTCTGCTGCCGTCCCTCAAAGTTAAACTTTGAAGTACCCCCCCCCCCCCTCCATTAAGTAGGTTTAGGTTTCATTCTCATTTTCTTAAACTACACCCCAAATATTTGGTAATCCGTAGGGTAAGATTTATTTTTAACACTTAAGGGATGAAAA